TAAATTCCAGTAATAATGAATTTTTTAGAGAAAAAATACATAAAATTAAACCTATGCAATAGCAATAACTAATCTTAAACGAAGTTAAAAAGCTGTTCTAAATAACAAATCACACTTAATTCCATGGGAGTACAAACAAATGAAGCCCTTCTGTTTAATGCATAGCAATCCTGCGGTTAGTCGATAGGTTAATCGGTTTCGAATGAGCATATTTCAAGGAGATGACACCTGTTAGCTGCACGGAGATTAGCTAGTTGGTTCGAAGGTTCCTTGATCAAGAAGAGGCGGATGAGCTTCAAACTGTGCTCTCCTGTCCCCTTCCAAAAGAGATAGAGAGTAGAAGGGAATACCAAACGAACTATGATTCTGCCTGAACCAGGTCGCAGTACGGTGGTTAACATTCGCAGATTCTACAACAGAAAGTGTGCTCGTTTAAAACATTATTTGAGCTTCTGATGCAGTGATCGAATGAGATGTGAAACGATTCAAAACAAATCACGTTATGACCCTCTGAGTTGTCATAAGTTGGAAAACATTAACAAAACATATAACATTGACCTTCAACTCCTCTAAGGTAAATCCGCGACCTAAGCGTAATCTGGTGCTGTACCGGGAAGACGGACAGCGAACGATCGGCCGTAGAGGCCCTTTGGCGGGACGAGGGGCGATGGCTAGAGCTTTTTGCACTCGGGTCAGGTAACGGCGCTTCTTTTTCATTGGCTGGTTAAAAAACGTCTTGACATGCTTCTTCCAATCTTTGTGGAAGTGAGCATTCGGTATCATCTGGTTTCGTTTCACCATTTTCGCCGCTGTTCTGGGTGTTCACGAAAAAAATAGCTAAAAAAGGTTCTAACATATCGCAAATAGAAAATTAAAAACAAAATGAAGCATAACACATAAATAAATGCAATTATATTTCAATCATACGCAAATCTTGAAAATATATTATGTAAAGAAAAAAGCTGTTTCGGTTGCCATGCCTTTAATTGAAACATCCTTGCAAGACAACATATCTAGCGATGCAAAGCAGGACAGAAAACGTTTACTTGCACAAGTACGTCATTTGCAAATGTTTTACCCCGTGCTTCATATCACTGATCGTAGAGTCGGAAACGCGGACCATCCCTTGGATCTATCACTATTCACTCATTTAGAAAAAGGGTCGTCTGGTAATGAAGTAACTGAATTCCATTACTCGAAACTTAATGATACAGATTTAAAACTTTCAGCATAAACACTGGCGCGTTTACTGCTATCCCGGGTATGATTTATCAAACAAAACATCATGAAGAAAAGAAGTTTTCTCCACACTGCTGTAGAGCGTAACTTAATAAGAACTTTTTCAAATAAATCATGTCAAAAGATGAACCGAAGAAAGTGCAGACAAACCTAAGAACAGTTAAATACAAGCAAGTGCATACTGAGAAACTTACGCATGAAAGCAACAAAGAATCAATTTCAAAAGCTACAAACTGCACGATACCCGTTTTGAAGACAGAGAATTAAATACTTAACAGCACAAAGCGTCATTAGGTATTGAAATGGAAAATTTAGTGCGAGTAATTAGAGTCAACTGCAAAGCTAGTCGGCAATTTGACATGTAAAATACTGAACCACTTTCTTTCGCAAGGTTCAACATTAGCTAACATGGAAGACGATGTACAGTCTGCAACGAGAAACGTGTTAGTACTGTAAGTAATAACCTGATAATCAGCTGTTACCAAACATATTAATCCACTGGTTCGTATCAGAATAAATTTCAGACGGGTTTCTTCGTTAAACAAATTTGAAAGATTTTAATAAACATACGGATAGGAGAAAATTAATCCTGCATGTTTAAGATTGTCGTTAATT